GCGCGGGCTCCGAGGTAGCCCAGCCGGGCGGCAGTCCCGGACCCCCGCGGCTGGCTCACACTCCGCCCGCAGTGGGCTCCCTGATCACCACTCCTAGGTCGAGCGATGAGGAGGAGGCGCCAGCTCTCCAGTGACTGAGGGGCCGATGAGCCCTGGGAAAGACGGCCCGGTGCCGCTACCAGGGTAGTGTGAATTGAAACATGGCTGGGGACACCGCCCTGCCACTGCCTTCTAATCTTTTCGTCTTTTCTTAGATGGACTCTAGAAGCAACAGGAAGTTTTCACTTACCTCTGACAGTTTCCTTCCCTCTCGCTTTTTCTTTTCTTTTCTTTTTTTATAACTGTGAGCTAGTAAGTTGCTGCTGAGCACCGCGACAGCTGAAGTAGCCTTGTCAGTCTTTGTTTCTGGGTGCTCTCCTGAAATTTCAGTTGCAAGGATGTGTGTGTATGTGTGTATTCGGGAAGAATAATGCCATCCAGATCTTTTGATGTATAGGAATTAACATTTTTAAATCACGAGTAGAATGTACCCAGATCAGTTGGCACATAATTGTATTTGCAGTGAGTCTGTTTGTATAAATGAAACCGTAACATCACAAGGAAAGAAAAATATGCATGTTTGTAGTAGTTTCCAAGTGAATGCTTATAAAACTAACGTGGCATGTTTGGAGGAAGGTGGTCACCAGGGAAGTCTCGGTCTTTGACCTTAACAATCACCCTGCTTAAGCACAGTACCAGGTAGCCTTGGATAATCAAGAACCTACTATATTAGGGAGTGCACTTATTTTGAAGGATAAGCAGTTAAACCCTTGAGTACTGATACATTTGGGTGGCAGGCAACAGAAGTTATTGGTTTCTTTAACTTTACTGTGTGCCTTGTGAGTTCCTGCAGCTTAGGGTTTTGGGATAACAATGAAGCAAAAATAGCTGTCTCGTATTTAGAATTTAGCAAGGAAGCTTCCATTATTTATTTTAACCTGAGCAAAAAAAAGATCACCAAATACCTCAGTTCTGTGCCAGTAAGCTTCTGAGCATCTTTAAAGATACCCACCTCTCCTGGTACCACGGATCCAACTCAGGACCTTCTGCTTGCTAGGCTGCGAAGGCGGCATCACTGAGCTAAATCCCTGGCCTCTAAAGACACAAACTGATGTTGAGTTATGCAAGTCTGTTTGCCAATGTTTTCACAAAAATATGAATACTTAAAAGGGTAATATAAATTTTTTTGGAAGAAACACACTTTGTTTCTCCTTTATGTTATTGTCAGATATAATTCTATATAATAAATAGAATTAAAAGTATTATTGGAGAAATTCCTAGAATCACATCAAAACATTGAGTAGGAACATGTTTTTATTTTTTTGTTTGTTTGTTTGTTTGTTTTTTTGAGACAGAGTCTCACTATGTAGTTGAGACTGACCTGGAACTCACTATGTAGCTCAGGCTGGTCTCAAACTCACAGCGATCCTCCTGCCTCAGTCTCCAGAGTGCTGGGATTACAGGCGTGTGCCACCACGCCCAGCAGAACATTTTTTTTAGATATCATAGTCTTGGATTAAGCAACTTTAACTGTTCAGTGTTTTGAGTTTTTTTTTTTCTTTATGTTGAATTTAAAACCTGTGCATAATTAAGAAAATGGCAAATAATAAGTCTCTATATTCCTTTGCTTTTTTGATCATCCCTGTTTAAAAATTTTTTTACCACATTTTTTTCTGCCCTCTCATTCTCCCATAGATCCATCCCCAAAGCTTCACTTTTGAGGTCTTCTACTGTCAGACACTGGCAAATTCCATTTTTAAAAGATGGTACTGTCTCCATCTAGGAGAAGGATCTACAATAGCACTTCTACAGTGGCCGTTCTCTATATTCCCTGCCCCCAGCCAAGACAGATAATATTCATATGCTTCACATTCTTCCGAGTGGAGGCAAAGATAAATTAGACTGCAGCTTACACCCCTTTCTTGACCTGTCTGTTGTAACTCTACTCCTGTTTCAGCAAAGTATACTGGAATATAAATGACCAGGAATAACATTATAGAAGTGACACTCTTCTTCAGTATTTCAGCTTTATTAGTACAAATAAGCTCAGCATTGAAGAAGACATACCAGGATGGCCCAATACAGTGGGAATGTATAGACCAGATGAGTTAGAAATGTAGGGATGTGCCACACTCTGAATTTTGAATTAATTCCTTTATTATCATAGCCAGTGTTCCTGATTGGCTCACACCAGAAAATCTCTGGACTAAGGAAAGGCAGTTTGCAGGGTCCTTTAAAAGCTCTTCTATTTGGGGAGGGATCAGGGAGAGAGGGAGCACAAGCTGAATTTCACAGGAGCAGAACTTTACCAAGTCAGTGGGGGCAAAGGGCATTTTCACACAGTTTAATTAAAACGAAGTATCACAAAGGTGCAGTAGTAAAGATAACAGTTGCAGACTGCTCTACCAAAAGGTCACAAAGATAACATATAGTTTCAGGCTCACACAAGATGCAGTGGTCTGTTATGCATTAACTGAGGGGACAGACTCTCAAGGTGGGAGGAAGGGGAAGGTGACCACCTGCAATCACTCAACACAAATGGAGTCAGGTTGGCCATCACAGGAGTACCTCCAGTCTCATGGAGGAGCTACGAAGTTGACACTATTTTCTCCCTAGTCCTTCAGTGCTTCTAAGGAAGCTGTGCCTCCTCTTGGTCTTTTTTCTTAAGTATTACTAGAGGACACTGTCAGGTGGATTTTACATCTCCTCAATGTCCATCTTTAAATTTGGTGGCCAGATACTCTGGGAGGCTGAGGCAAGGGAAATACTTGCTGAGGTGAACAACTTAGTGACTCAGGAAGATCTTGTCTCAAAACATTAAAATTTCTGGGAGAGACAGCTCAGTGCAAAGGTTCAGGTTCAAGCCCCAATGTCTATCTACATACACACAAACACACACACACACACACACACACACACACACACACACACACAGAAGAATGGAGAGAAGAATAAAACGAGGTTATGTAAGGAAAACTCTAGGCAAAAAATATTGTAGAAGCAAGAACAGTTAGTACAGCTGAATGTGACCAACAGGAAGAGCAATAAAATAGAGAAATGGGGAAGGCATTGTATGGTGGGCACAGATCCTCTGTGGTCTGAAGACCACCTGAAGAACTTCAGAGATGAGGACCCCAGTTACCACAACACAGCTTCACTTCAGTTATCTTACAGTGATACGGTTTTCTTAATCTTTGCATATTTCAATTTAACCTGAGCACACTACTACAATAAATACAAAAAAATCCCAAAACATATTTATTGTAATATACAAACATCAAAGAGAAGAAAAAATTAAAAGTTTTTATTTAATATGTCAAAAAAATGGTGGCCAGAAATATAAATACTGAGCTATTAATGCATCCTAGTATGACCTTAGTTTAGTTATAGTTAACACTTTATCAAATATTCTACATTTATTAAACAAAAACTATATGTTTGCAAAATTCTGGGGATTGAAAAACAAAGGAACACAGTGTCTGCCTTCTAGTGACATGAAGCAATGTGGCAGATGCTATATAT